CTAGGATTCGGTTCTTCACGGCTTCAGACTTCTACTTCACCCCTTTATCCGCGAGGTATGCAAAAATTGGGATCTTCTCCCTGGGCAGTTCACAGCCAATGCTCCCAAATATCTGGTGATCTACATCCTGCGCTGTTGTGACAAGCTTGGGACCCATTTTTGAGGGATTTTATGCATTTCTTCAGCCTCGAGGGTGATTCCCCTTTTTTAGCCTTTACCCCAATTAGAAATACGTTCTCTTTACCAAAGTTGAGCTGCGTATTAAAAATTAGGAAGACAAGTTTTTTGTGAGTGAGGCTCTTGTCGATCTGCCTTTCGATCTTCCAATTGAGTCCCGTAAGACCAAACTTCCCCGGACCCCCTTTTCTAAGAGTTCCTAGGCTGAGAAAGCCTTTGAAGAGATGAAGGATACCGGCCTCAATGAACATGAGCGAATCCAGGATCATAAGTTGTTCAAGCAGTTGGAGTTGTGCCCTGATGGCCAACTGTTCATCGTTATCCTATCACGTATAGGCAGATATAATATGTTTACACATCTCATGCTAATGTAAACAAATATTATATTCCTAGATTTATATTTAAAAGATGTTTATCAGATAGTGTTTTTCTGCTGATGAGACTAACATCTTGAAATAAATATTTATCTAAATGTCCATAGTCGAGTATTAACGAGAGTGGGATATCGTTAATGCATGTGAGACTAGTGTGTGTTGGATGTTTGACTTAGTCTCATAGTCAATGACGGTGTGTTCGCATCCGCACATGGGCAGATATTATCTAGAGATAATAGGATGCCGGACTGACCCATCCTAAAGATGTTGCTTGAACTTTTAGTTCATGCTCTAAGCATCTTTAGCGCGACCACGGATGTAACTATCCTTCGACTTGAAGTATTACGTTTTCTGCATATGTGAACCCGCATACTTTGATGCATTGTCCTAAGCCATATGAAATAAGGATGGTATACAGGCTTTGTTTTGGGTATGCCGCAGCGCGTATTCAGAAACGTAGATTACGTACAGAGGATTTGTCACTACTCTTTTTAAAAGAGATTAATGTCTTATG